TTTGAATGGACCAAAAGTTGTTTTCCTTGTTTTATTTGGATCAAAATAATCATTGCATGCATTATTACATAAATTGTTCACAAGTTATAATCTGTAATTGTTACTTTAGCTCTACCATATGAGATGAGAATTTTAAAACTAACTTATAACTAATCTCTGGTATGTGTTACAGAACAAGGAGATCGGATAGCTGGATTTCTTTTTGAACCCATTCAAGGCGAGGCTGGGGTATGTTTCCTCAGAAATTCATTTGATAAATTGATTTGACACACACACACACTTGTATATGTATTGTTTGGGGCTAGATGTGGGGTTTTTGTGGGGCCTTTGTCCACCACAACTAGTCCTTCACTTCTCGGGCCTAGTGATGTCTGAACATGCCAGGCCTCATTCGATCATCGACCTTGGAGATGATCAACCTTGTAAACCTTTGTATAGTTTTCCATCCTAAATAGCAAGCCCAAGTTTGGTACGACTAGGTTCCCTTCCCACTGAAGTTGTGGTGGTTCTCTTGTTAATTATTTGGCAATCGCTTGGCTCGCCCCAATTATTGTCAAACAACTCTACTAAATAAATTTGGATTGTCTAGACTTTAGAAAGATTTATTTTCTAGTTTTCAAACTTTAGATGCAAGAACAAAGCTTAATAGTCAATTTCTTCAATGATTCTCATTAGCTGACATAGAATGTTTATGTCGAATAACACTTCTGATAAGATGCATGCAATGGTTGGACAATCAAATTTAGTTTTGAGCTTATTTCTTCTAATACATATTTTTATGCTAACAAACATAATTTTTGATTTGACCGTTGGACCAGACTTAAATTTTACTTCAAATATTCAGAGGTCTTATTTTGTACAAAATTAAAATTTCAGGTTAATTAGATATTAGAAATGTCTTGCGATAAGGTCCAGAAATTACTGTGCGAGAATTGTATTAGTTTCCTAGTTGATATATGATTTTTTATTTTATTTTATTTAGAACTATTTTATTATTTTTTAGCTTGCGAACCTCATGGATATAAGAATTTAAAACCCATAATCAAATCAATCAATCACAAAAAAGCTAAATTCAGGCTTGTGATTTAGCTTGACATAACGATAATTTGTATCGAAGTACCAAGACTATAAGTAACCAACCCCCATCCAACATCTATTATCGAGACGCGAACGAGAAGTAAAGAAGACGCTATGAAACTTGGTTAATTCTTTGATAAGTTATTAAGTAATAAAGATCATGAATTATCAATACAAAACAATGAATATGAAAATTTGACTACCAATAAGAATTCATGTGAAATATGGACGATAAAAAAACATAGAAAAAGACACCAAAAATTAAAAAACTAATGGAATAAGATTTAAACAACTCAAAATAACAAAAGCACTTTCAATTGATATCAAGCTAAATTCAAAAACCCGCAATCAAATGAATCCTTTTCAAGAAAGCTAAATTTATACCTGTGATTAAGTTTGAAAGCTAAATTTACACCTGTGATTAAGTTTGACACAGTGATAACCTATATTGAGACACCAAAACTATAGAAACTGAACCTCCACTCAACATCTATAAAAAGACGCGAATGAGAAGTATTGAAGACGACACGAAACTTGGTTAATTATTTAATAATTCAAAGTAGTTCTATGAGGAACCAAGAGTAAGAGCAAATTTTCACATAAGTTTTATTTTTGAATAATCAATCCATCTCTTGTTAATTTTTGTATATGCTAAATAACTTTGTATACTATATAAAAACATCCTAAACAATGTTGAAAAAATAATAAAAGAGTTCTAAATAAAATAGGTAAAAAAATCCTAAATCAATTAGGAAACTAATATAATTCCCGCACAATAGCTTATGGACTGAACCTTATCTCAAGGCCTTTCTGATATTTGATTGACTTAGAATTTTAACCCAATACAAAACAAGACCTCTGAAAAATTCTGATAAATTTCCAACCCAATCCAATGGTTGGACTAAAAATTATGTATGTTAGTGTAAAACTGTATATTAAATAAAATAAACCTAATCTGTGTGTAAGTAGAAAAATAAGTTGAATCCACAGTATTGCAAGAAATAAAGCCCAAATATCTTGATCTAAACCATTGAATTCCTTTTTAACCTTCTTAACTTTTAATCTTGTAAAAGGTCCAATTGACATATGTAATGGATCTTCTTAACATTTAAGTAAGGTGATGATTAGAGGTCAAATCTTTTTGAAGAGCCAATGATACAATCCATTCAAAAGGGTGACAATTAGATTTGGTTTTGGACTTATTTCTTCTAATTCATATTTTTACACTTATAAGTATAATTTTTGATTCAACTGTTGGATTAGATTGAAATTTTATTAGAAGTTTTAGAGGTCTTGTTTATATAAAGTTAAAATTTCAGGTTAATTGGATATTGGAAAGATCTTGTGATGAGGTCTAAAAGCTACTGTGTGAGAATTGTATTAGTTTCTTTGTTGATTCATGATTTTTTTTCTATTTTATTTAGAACTTTTTGATTTTTTTCCAGCATTGTTAATGACATTTTACCTAGTATAAATAGGGTTAGCTTGTATTTAGGTTTTAAAAAAATTAATAAGAGATAGATTGATTATTCATAAATAAAACTTGTGTGTGCTACTTTGTTCTTACTCTTGGTTTTTTATGGAACAACTCTGACTTATTGAAGAATTAGCCAAGCTTCATGGCGTCTTCGTTCGCATCATCTTCTATATTTTTCATTTGCGTCTCGACTGTAGGTGTTGGGTAGGGGTTGATTACTTATAGTCGTCGTGTCTAGGTATAGGTTATTGTTGTGTCAAGTTCAATCACAAGCCTAAATTTAACTTTCTTGGGAAGGGTTGATTTGATTGTGGGTTTCTAGATCTATATATTCATGGGGTTCGTATCAATTATGGTCCCTTTTATTTCATATATGAACTTGGAACTACAAGAGAAAGGATGCTGGCAAAGTCATGTTTAATAGGATTGAATTTATTTACTCCTCTACTTATATTGAATACCTTTCTGTTCTGTCGAGTCTAATGTAGATATTTAAGACATTTGGATTTGTCATTTAACACAGAAAATGATAGCTACTCAGCTTATTGTTGAACTAGATTTTTTGAATTTGAAAAAGTAGCTAACCTATCCCCGATCTGTTTTCTTGAAAATTGTCTTAAATAGCTAATTTTCTATCATGTCTCCAATTTACCTGGTCATTTTACATAAAATGTCTTTGACAATTGCCCATTTAATGTCTTTGACAATTGCCCATTTGTATGCAAGCCCACTTGTTTTTTGACAAAGGCTGAAAGTTTTTCTTCCCCAATTTGGGGTGAGTGATTCGTCCTTCACCTCTTAAATTAAATTCCTTTTGTTATTTCCGTCTCCTCATTTTATTGAGACTGTTATGTTTGGTTAATATTCTTTATGGTTGGCAGGTTATAATTCCTCCAGATGGTTACTTAAAATCTGTCAGAGATCTTTGCTCAAAATACAATGTTCTGATGATTGCTGATGAGATTCAAACTGGCTTAGCGCGAACAGGAAAAATGCTGGCTTGTGATTGGGAACAAGTTCGTCCTGATGTAGTAGTAAGGCCCCTTTTCTTATTTTTGATGGGATCTTCCAAATATTTGATGTGAATATGTCAGGGGCACATTCCTGTATTGAAAAGCATGATTGTCTTTGTTAATAGGAGTAATGAATTTCCAAATTACATCTGATTTTTGAACAATTCCTCCGCATGTTCTTTTAACAATTCTTGAGGGTGTAGTTTGGCCTTAAAATAGCCACACTTCAGTGAGTGAGCTTATTTCATCTTTCTGCTTCCAATGAAAATTTGTAAACCGTAAGGAGTTCCTGTTTTAATATTTGTTTTCTATACTGTTCTTTGTTTGGGGAGAATGTCTAAATCTTCTCATTATAATTCAGTAATTTCTCTGTAATGAAATCATCTACATTTATTTAAAAAAAACTGTAGGAGTTGCATGCAAGACAATTGTTGCAATGCTGTGATAATTTGGTTTTCGAATCAATAAATGTTATCTGCTTGGGATCGCGAAAGTTGTTGTGAATTCTTATTGGGTAGTTTAAAAAAGTTGCTGATACTTCAAACAAGGCATTCAATTTCTTGCTTGTCCTTTAAATACCTGGCCATGTATTCATTTTTTTCTTCTGATTATAGAATGAAACATGACACCCAAATTATGGCTATACTGTTGAACTAACTTAGAACTAGAACTAACGTCAGCTTATACCATTCATGTTGGGTCTCCATATTTTCTTTCCCATGTTTTAAATGATTTCTTTGATGTCCGATATGAATAGAGATTTAAATGCCGCAAATAAGAAAATTAGTCAAAACCTTCCCAATTTCAACCTGCAAGAGATAGTTAATATCCTAAGTTAGATTGTTGATAATAACATTTTATAGGCGGAGCAATATAGCTATCAGACCTTGCTTGATCGTTGACCTACTTGTCTAACCTTTCTTCATGCATCTTGGCGAAAATTTTCTCCAGACTATTATTGACTGATAATAAATGCTTATTGGTTGTAGTGACACAACCAAATTATATGCTTCTCTAATGTGCCTCCATACATGCTTCTGTGGTTGTTCTGCTCAGATTCTAGGAAAGGCATTGGGTGGTGGAGTGATACCTGTAAGTGCTGTGCTTGCAGATAAAGATGTAATGCTTTGCATTAGACCAGGAGAACATGGAAGGTTTGCTACTATAATTGTTTACTTCTTTTGTTGTTTGTCTTCTGACAGTGCTAATTTGCCAATAGAAAATACTGCATACTATATCTGGTGCCAGCATTATTCATCAATTATACATCTTGATTGGGAAAATTTCACAGAGACATTTAGTGTCAACTCGAGTTTACTGTGGTCAAAATACTGTTGCAAAGATGTGTAACTTCAATTTTTTTTGAAGAAAATAATTTAAAGAAAAAAAGAATGAACAAGATGAAAAAAACAGAACTTTTCTAGGAACTTTTCCTGTAGAATGTATTTTTGCAAAGGATTGGCATAGTGTTAGCAAGTCAGCTTAGTTCACTTTGATATTGTATAATGCATGAACAAGTTGGAGCTGAGTCCAGATATGAATGGATATGAACCAGCAATTATTAGCTGATCTAAAGTACCTTACACAGTCTGATGCGGGACAAAAAGAGATTTAAACCCAATAAGAAGGAAAAGAAGAAGCTAAGAAGAAGAAGCTGAAGAAGAAAAGAAAAAACTGAAGAAGAGAAGAATAAGCATTGGCAAAGTATTTAACTCTGCAATTTTTATTTAATTTTTCAAAAAATATCTAAAGAAAAATAGGATATAAATATTAAAATCCTAATTAGAACGAACAATTAGGCTTATAACCAACTAATAATTAAATCAAGTCCAACAAATAAAACCTAATTAATAAACCTTTACTAAAAGTTCAAATAAATTAAACTAAAACATAAGTTAAAGCTCAATCTCTCAATGGTTTGGACAACTCTTCATCATTTATGATCATATGAGTGTGTAAACAATGTCTTGGGTCTAGTGTCTTCACCAACTCTCTAGGGGTTGGAGAAGCTAAACCTTGTCAAGTGTAGTTCAAGGCGGCTCTAATAATACTCCCAAAGATCATGATTAAGCTGTTGTGATGTTTCTCTGATAATTCAAGTATAGACTGAATCTGGTTGTTTAGCTTATATAATAGGATTCACTGAAGTTCACCTTCCCTGGTAAAAACTTGTATATTCAAAGTAGCATTAATATATTTGTTTTATGCCAAAGATAAGGATAATAGGGCAGAGATTTCAAAAGGATCATTAGGGATATGCTGTTGAGATTTCAGGTCTAATCTGTATCAAGAAATACTCTCCAATATTAAGTGCATCATGATACTTATGTAAATCAATTCGAAAATTGTATTGTTCATTACTTACTTGAATATGTTTTATGATCTCAACATGTAAATTATGAATTCTATATGCAAAAGACTCAAAGGAAGCAAATATTTTAGAATGGGGAAACATAGAAAGAAGATCTGCATGTTTTCTAGGTTCATAACCATGAACAACACTATATGACTGAGGGTTCTGAGTGGAACAAACACTATTTGAAACCTTAGTAAATATAGTTTGGGCATAACCTTATAAATTAGGATTATCTTCATTTTTTTCATCACATGTTAAGGGTAAAGGATCAAGGAGCTCAACATATTGCTCTAAACTTATGACGTGCTGAATGTCTAACATGAAGGGGTGAGGAGCATGTTGCTCTAAACCTTTAACATGCTAGATGTCGAGCATGGTAGGTGGGGAATCAAATAGTTTAAGAACTAATATCATAAGACTCTTCTAAGATCTTATTTACTTCTTAGGACAATTCCACTAAAGAATGATAGGTGGGGAATCAAATAGTTTAGGAGGATTAATATCATGAGACTCTTTTAAGATCATATTTATTTCTTCAGACAATTCCACTAAAAAGTTTTCTAAAACTTCTTCCTCTAGCATTAAAGTAAAATTATTATATTCTTTATTAATCTCATTTTCAGATTCATTTGAATTTAGTGTTAAGTCCCTTTTCTTGCACATACTTTTCATCTAGACCACTAAAGTCATCAAGATTGAGTTTATTGATATGCACTCAATAGTTTTTCTTTTCAGCTATATCCTTATGTTTTTAGATGACTAAGGGTTTAGAGGTGCAATTGAAGAAGATATGATTGAAACCGTAAAATTTAGCACACTAAACCTTTGAACTCAATAAAGGCATTTCATTAACGACCTTTTTTTCCTTTTTTTTTTTATAAATTTAGACACTACTAGGATTAGATCTGCATGATAGAGCATCTAACAAAGAACTATCATTTCTAAATTGATATCTAAAAGGAGTACTATGTGGGTCTTGACATCTTATCCATTGCTAGATCCATTCACTAAATAAAATATTCAATAATAATTCAATCAAGTACAACAAATAAAGTTTAATCAATAAACCTCAACTAAAAGTTCAAATAGATTAAACCAAAACAGAAGCTAAAACTTAGTCTCTCAATGGTTTGGGTTACTTTCTATTGTCTATGATCATACGTGTATGTAATCAATGTTTCGGATTTGATGTCCTCACCAAACCAAAAGCCTTCTTTGTGTTGAATGTTGACTGGTTAGTCCTAGTCCTAGTTTTCTGCTTCTACGGATGGGGATAGATAGTTCACATCGGTTGTGCAACTGGGTTGAGGCCTAACAAAATAATCAAATTGAATCTTCTAGTTGAGAGCCTAATAATTTGAATCAGCATCATAACATTGAGAATGCACTATAGTTGGTGACCTTAAAGTGTTAAAAAGTGTCAAATATAATGAACTAGTGAGAGGAGTTATGACCGTAGATTATTTCTTTGTGAATTTGATGCCAGAAAAGAACAGTTTTTCTCCTTGTTATCTTGTCTTTTAAGATGGGTTAAGCATTTGTTTTTGCGTTTTAAATTTATTATTTTAAATTATATACTCTTACTGCATCATCATTTCGTTTGAAGTAGTCTTCATTTCTTTCTGTTGCACATTTTATGTTGCTTTGGCATTTGTCTTAAGAGAACTCTTCGTTGTTTTATTTGTGATTATTCCCAGCACATTTGGGGGAAATCCTTTAGCCAGTGCAGTTGCCATTGCTTCACTAGATGTGATCAAAGAAGAAGGGCTTGCTGAGAGGTATCATGTGTATGCACATTAAATTAAACTTCTGTGACTAAATTTTGATTAAATGCTTAGCTCAATCTCAGTTGTCTGAGAAGTTGGAGAGGTTTTAGGCGTGGGGTATCTGAGTGAACTACTTTGAAAACATTTCCAAACAGTTTTTAGGCGTGAACTACTTTGAAAACATTTCCAAACAATAGTCGGTTCTTTTTAACTGAATTCCATTAGAACTTCTTCCCGAAACAGCATTCTATGACAAAATTGTGTGCTTAAACATCAGGAAGCTTATTTTGGAACTTTTTGAACACGAGTTATTTTGGAAATATATGCAAACAATTTGTCAGTGTTTTGAAAAAAATCTCTTAGAACCTCATTTAGAAACAAAATTCTATGAAAAATTCATGTTTTATTTACAGCTAAACTTGTTTTGCCACATTTTATATTTTGAAATCTCTCTAACCCATTTACCTTACTTCTTTGCTTTTGTTTTTTCCCTTTCAAAAAGCTGATTAATTTGTGAATTACCGGATGTTTTCCTATTCAATAGATCCTACCACTTGGGGCAAGAACTCAGGCATCAGCTACTTAAGGTTCAGCAACAGTTTCCAGACATCATTAAGGAAGTTCGAGGTAGAGGTTTGTTCAATGCTGTGCAGTTCAACAGCAAGACTTTGTCCCCTGTTTCTGCATATGATATTTGTCTGAAGTTGAAGGAAAGAGGAGTTCTTGCTAAGCCTACACATGACACTATTGTCCGGTTAACTCCTCCACTTTCCATCAGGTAAGGAAGATGTCTGATGAGTGCTAAATGTTATGATGTCACCGAAAGTATAAATATCTTGAGAATGATCTGTTTTGATTGTATCTCTTTCCATACAATCCAATTAATAAACAAGATTGATCTGATATGGGTTAAGAGAGAAGGTGCCTGGATGAACAGTCACTATCCAAGATTATTATTATCCTGTACTAAGCCTTTATGCTTTTCACAAAGAACTAGGACCTTAATGAAACCTGATATTATCCATTCACATTTGCTTGGCCCTTTAATTCGTAGCAGACACTTGGTTTCTTTCTTGGGATTCAATGTAGTGAATGATGCCTCAAAAATCTTTTAGTTATACTGGAACATTTTCAGAAATGTATCTGAAAAGATTCTGTCACAAGACTAGTCATGCCAATTAAGGATGGCTTTGTTTTTGTTGCAAAAATGAAACAAATAAAATCTGCACCACATGCAATTATGTATTCAAAGACCCACCTTACATAGTTGAACAGGATTTATGTGGTATGCTGTAAATCATCATCCTGCTATTGCATTATTGTTGACTCGTGAAGAAGATACTGAGATGCTATTTACCTGGCAGTAAAAGTTGGAATCCACTTTTAATCAGGTAACAATTTTATGAAATTTTCTTATGGGAAAATTGTATAACCTGGAATAATTTTTTCTTTTTCAGTTCGGATGAGCTCCAAGAAGGATCAAAGACTCTGCATGAAGTTCTGGAACTTGATCTACCAAAGATGAAGGCGGCCAAACCAGAAAAGATGCCAATTGCTTCCACCACATGTGACCGGTGTGGGCGAAACCTGTATGATTCTTCTGGTTAGGATGTCACAATTATGCACACATTTACGAGGCTGTTTCATTGATTCAGCTCTTAAATGCTGGCATACAGATCCCCTGAAATAAGCATGGGCTAATTTTGTAGGCCTCTTTTAATCGGGAACTATGAGATTGAGACCTCTCATCTCAGTCTGGAAGTTCTTAATGTTTAAGTTAAGATACATGACAATTAATGCAATGAGGAAAGAATGGTTGAAGTTCGACAGGGTACTTTATTTGTCTCTTGTTTTTATGACCCAGTTCTATTTTTTTTCCGTTCATTCTATACTCCACAAAATTTATGTACACTTCTACCTACCAGAAAAGAGCGAATAATAGTACTTCCGTAGAATGAAACCCATAATGCACATCTGCAAAGCACTAAACCTGCACATTCTTGGATTTCATAAGATCACCGTGTTTTTTTTCCTTGAACAATGTTGAGAAAATGACGTGAAATAAAGTTTGTGGTTTCACTTCAAAAGCCAAACACGCCAGGATGGACGAATAGCGTAGTGAGCCTTTCGTTTCCTTCTACCTGAGTATGTGTTTTAGAGTTCCTGCAATCCATTGCTCTCTCTCTGACTGATTCTGATTGCATTATTTAGTGGTTCCCCTGTCTGCTTGAATGTGTGTGTAAAGTGTGTTCAGACAGTAGGGTTCCTAATCAAGTAGCTAGGACCTGCCCATTATTCTTTCCCTATTTTATTTTATCTGGGAAAATAAATTGGGTCATTTATAAGATTTGACGATAATTAGAATATATCAAGTGTATATCAAGTGTTTCAAACTTTCCATATCTTATTATATATCATTGTTGTTTAGGGAGACGTACAATAATAATGCAAAGAGTTTGGTGGCCAAGTAATTGTTTAGCAAGAGACAGCTTCTTAATTAATCAAGTATTAATTAGAGATTCGAGCCGAGCCATGAGAATCTCTTCTCAGGAGCTCACCAAGAACTATATATATATATATATATTTGACTTGTGAGTTTGGTTGGTGTGCTGGTTTGAGCCTAGGCTGGACATCATTATTGTTTACAAGAAAACTTTCGCTAGCTGGATATCATTATTGCTCTCTTCTCAGGAAGAGAAGGTCAATCTTGCAGAGAGTCTCATTTGCAGAATTTTTGGCATCTCATTCATGGTTGACAAGTGAGAATCTCTCTCTCTCTCTCTCTCGTATCTTTGAGCAAGCAAAGATTATAGTCTTCTCTGTGGGGATCCCATGAACCTACTCCATAGTTAATTTCCCGTACCTTTTCTTTTTCGTTTTTGCCTCGACCCTTAATCTGTTGTTCGAGATGACTATATGTGATTGGGGTTCGTCTTTTCAAAGGAAGAATTAAGTAAATGTGTAGATCTAAACGCTTCTAATTATGTTTATTCATTACACTCCATATGGTATTTAATTCTTTAATATTTTCTTATATTAAGTTTTTCTTTATCTAAATTATTTTTTTATTTTAAAAATATTCTTTGACTGATATAAAAGAATAATTAAAAGATTGCTCTCAAGATATTTTAAGGAATAAGAGACTTGAAATTGCTCATCCATTAAAATCTCATTTTTTCTTGAAAAATTAAAATTGTATTCTTTTATAGTTCAAGAGAATTTTTGAAATACTAATTAGTACTTAAAAGTATATTTTTTATCAAGATTTTATATCATCATCTTGCACTTGAAGTATCAATAACTCTTTAACTAAAGCATGTTTTATAATAACATATCTAATAATATAAGATACCTTTAATTTATGGTAAATATTTATTTTAAATGCAGGCTTATCACATAAATGAAAGGATTGATTGAATTTAAAAACTAAAATTGAAAGGACAAAGAGATGGACAAATTTAAAAAAGAGATACCGGTGTAGTCCAAATTAGAACACTGTTCGGTAATTGGGTCATATTTAGAGCTGTAAATCTTAGATTTAGGTCTACTTTATATGGTTGGAGAGATAAGACATAAGCCAATAACTTTCATATGGAGCACAAGACTTAAAAAAACCATTTTCAAGTCCAAATTGTAGCAACAACAACAAAGAAGTCTGAATCTGTCCTACAGCCCAAGCACTATTCATTGTTTGGCCC